CGCCCTACTTCCTGATTGGATGTCAATGTAACCAATGGCAAAGTCCCATGTGGCTTGCGCGTGAGGTCTCAGCCACTAACTGGCAGCAGGAGTAGGAGTAGCCTGTTTTCACGTGTCTGGCCTTATTGAGTTCATGGATTAGGGGCTTGGGGGTCGACTACCTATGGATAGGGGATCCAGATGAATGCCTTTGCCTTCTGTCGTTCTTGGCCTATACACCAGGCGGGGCCAAGAGATTTGAGACATGAGATAGATGACTCTAAATCTCCTAACGGGCCCTCATCCTGTCGGAGGGCACCGTCAGTTTTTAGACTGAGAGGGACATTAACAAAACTACCCTGTTTTGGGCAGTTGATCCGAGGACTTGTTACTTGTCATTCATAATTTTAAAAAGAGTAACTCAGATCGTGTTCGTCATAACGATGTTTATTCTGTTTTAAAAAGGAGATAATTTAAAAACCTGCTGCCGTCTTGGAGAAAACGCCCTGTAGAAGGTAACTTGACTAAAATTGACGGTACGAATGTACAACAAGGTACTACTACAGTGTATTCGTTCTTGTCGTTTACTGTCTTCTCACTGTATTATATTTTATACCTGCGTTCAGTTATATTTAGCTTTATATAACTGACCAGTCTTGATTTGATGGTAATCAATCAATTAAATTATTTTCCGGCTGATTACCGATAGCCTACAGAATAAAATGTACCGTCTTTTAAAGAATTGTCGTTTCTTTAGGGCAGGATAAATCTCTTGGATGCGGGGTGGGTGGTCTGTATGTTAGAGGGGTTTCTAAACGAATTTCGTGATCTTTCTTCTGATAGGTTACGAACTGTCTTGAAGTTCCATCAATTGGCAGGACCACCATCTACATTCGCAAAAAACCTTGAAACATTTATCAGCTAGCACGAATAAGTAAGAAGTTATATCTCAGGAGCAGTTAGGCAAACCAAATGCCCGGACGATAGGGCAGTTTAAATCAGCTGTCAGTGGGCATTAAGATGGTCACTGTCGGACACCCTGTAGCTGCTAATTTCAACGTGCTCAAACCCAACTTCTTTCAGCCTTTTGTGTTTTTGCATTGTGTTGGGAATGTCTCCATTCCCACGATGAGTAATCACACAGAAAGGCGCCCCTGTCGGCTGCCACGTTGCTGTTATGGCAATGCGCGCAGTGACTATCGATCTCTCGTGAGATCTGATTGGTCCATGCCGCCGACAAAAACTTATCAAGCGTATCAATAAATATAGGCAACCTTTTTGTGAGAAGGAATTGCTAATTTTTTAAACAGCTTTTCCTGTGGTCGGTTGCCTTCCCGTCCTCTCCCTTGCTGACTTCGGGAACGACAATTGGACAAACTCACAGTTCGCGTTAAGTACAAGTACCAGGCGTGGGTTATAACACGCAGACATCTGGGTGGGCGATCAATCAGTACGGACTTACCGGTTACTCATCAACGAGCCGAGCACCATCAAGGAGTCTTCCAGCATCGGCACCAGTTCCGCAACTCTGTCGCCCTTTAAGAGCAGTTCTCCACGCGTCTTAAAAGGCCCTAGCTTTAGCTCCTGATTGGTCCAGTCGCTCATGACAACCGCCAACTTCGCCTCAATGTCCTTCTCACGGACGGCTGAAATGCAGATGTCTTCGACGTCATCCTTCGCATCCAGCAGAGGCGCGTCCAGCATGGTTTTCAGTGTGAAACTCTCCGACTCCACATCGAAGTTGTAGTGGACCAAATCTGCCAGGCGTTGCCAATGTCGCGGCTTCATGGCCTTGTTGGTCATCATCTCCAGCAGGGGAACCTTCTCGTTAAAGTCGTTAATAGTCTTTTCGAGATCTGTGTACGCCGGCCAAGTCTTCAGAGCCTTTGGCAGACGTTTACATCTAGGCAGCGGGAAAAAGTAAACCAATGGGGTAAATAAACCAGTGACTTTGAATGAAATCATATAAATAGTAGACTTTTGATGACCTAATCACGACGATGTCCACCATGTGCTGCGCTACAGGGCAGTGACTTGCGCGTGAATTAGTTTTAAGTCATAGTAGACTTGTGTTGTATCTACCGCACTCTTTCTTCTCCCACCCACCTGCGCCCGGTTTCAAGACAGAGTCAAGAAGACCGGAGGTCAAGTCTCAGGATTACAGTAGGTGCTACGGTGCTTAGATGTCTTGTTCGATTAAGGCGCCTGGCCTATCTGTTAGAAAGACCCTCGACAAAGCACCAAAGGAATAATAACAGCATTAGCTGGAAACTAGTTCGGCGAGAGCCCTTACTTTCCTCATAATGGAACACTCGATTGATTTGTCCAACCGGACATTGTTTCAGGTTGTTTCTGCTACTCATGTCGCTGATGATGAATCCGCGACGGATGTCGAAACGTCAGGCGAATAAACATATT